CCGGGACCTTCTGGCTACAAGGCGAGCTCGTACACCATTAACCCACTGGGACCTGAGCCAATGGCCAGCCCATAAATTCTAACTTCTGCCAATTCCCGATATAGCCCAAACGCTGGCCAATTTCTTCGGCGAGTATTTGCCCTCACACCCGACCTGCTCCACCCTAGTGGTCACAACTTCCCACTGGAACCCCAGGTAACTACCTATCTCATTGATATCCAAGTATTGCTTTGTAGAGATTCGAAAGATTGGTTACAGGATTTCATCATAAGCTGATATTGGTTAGAGAACCATTGGAAAACCTGGGAGTACTGGTAGAAGTTAGAATTCATGGGCCATTGGATCGGGTCTCAGTGACTAAGTGGTCTACGAGCTCGCCTTGTAACCAAAAGGTGCTGCGTTCGAACCCCAGTGGGTGGGTGTGTACTGCTGAAGAGTCCCAAACTAGGACAAAAAAGGTGTCCAGTACTCCCAGGTTTTCCAATGGTTCTCTAACCAATGTCAGCTCATGATGAAATCCTGTAACCAATCAACCAAACCCCTACAAACGAATACTTAAACACAGATATGATTGAGGCAAAAAAATAGCAGTAACATGGAAGAACAATAGAGTTTTATTGGATATGATAAATCATTGCAAAGAGTGAATGCCTCTGCGTCAGCTCCAGCCACCAACAAGAACGATTTTCATTTACACACGTCTCCGATTATCTCCAGTCCACATTGGTTCTCTAGATCATCCCGAGGACTCCAACCAACCAGTCAGTCATGCAGTCTACACCTCCCTATGTGACTGTCTGGCTAAAGTAACTGTTGACTGGTGACTAATAAAGCCATGTTTCGGTTTGACCACCACCAACACCATCACCACTACCTTCTAACCTCATCGATCCATCCTATGTCAGTCAGTGGCTAACATCACCCCAACCGTCGTCGGCCGAGGAATGAAGGCGACGGTTAGCCAGGCAGACAGGCATGCATGTGTCAGTAACACATGTCCTAACCATCGATTTCAAGCGGCGTGACTGCTTCACAACCTCATTGTCCATGGATTTCCCCTCATCATCCTTCTCTTGCTTCCTTACCTAGCAGTCGACCGACCGATGCCTCACCTCAGTATTGCTTGCTCACCACCCTGTTACATCTACCACCTACACCACCTAACACGAGAGGTGGTTATAATGTAGACACCTATGATGAGACACAGCAAGATAGCTGGGTAGATAGCCTGACTTTTCATGTCTTCCACTTTCAGTGGTCATATCTCAAAATCAGGCAGACAGGCAGTTAGTCAGCCAGCCAGCCAGCCACCACTTCACTCCAGCCTGTCTGTCTATCTTTAATCTAGGTCGAAGTGTGTTACATAATTTAACAACAAATAACTAAAATTTAACTCATTAATCACAAGAAAACAGACTGATATTTCAAACATCACTACTTAATGAGTGGAACATTCCGTTGTCCTTTATTACTAAATAAAAATACCTAAAGTATAATAGTTCATCCTTCGTTTTTACTTCTGATTTTTTTACTTGAATAATCCAAAAGAACTAAATCACCACTTCATGATGTAGTTTTCTTATAAATAACTTATAGCAACTGGTAACCACTGAGTTCCAAAAATATTTTTTTTTTAAATATATCAAATATAAACAAACCCGATAAGTAAAATCTCACCGAACCTCGGATTTTTACACAAAGAATCTCGTAACTCTAAACTGTAGCAGCCCAAACCGAGACTACCTAGCGAAAGGACAAATGACCTTGACAAGGACAACTTTGACGAATCAGAAGGCTCAAACACAAAACGGCGCATAATCTTAATAAATCGTTTATATATAAGTAATACAACGTTAAAAAATGGTTACAAAGGACAACGTTCTCGTAAATGTTGCATAAAAACCTCCCAATTTCTCATAGGAGTCTTGATACTCATGTTAAACCAAGTCCTGTACATAAACTCATCATTGCATTCCTTGATCCATTCGCTGACCTGATAAGTTATTTTAGGTGACTCCAGGAACTTTCGATGGAATTAGTGTGAGTTCCATCGAAAGGACTGATGAAACCATTTATATTTTTTGACGACTTGATGAATATACCCCAGATTTGATAACTGACTGTAACTACTCCGTTCGTCTGTATGAATAGTCATCCCAGGCAGCACTAAGTGCTGGATAATAGGTAATAATACATCTGCACTGCGATTAGGGATCGCCTCAATATATCCTTTCTGGAAGCTGGTGGCATATATCCCTAATATCTATTGCTGATTCGCACTCAATCTTCCTCGATTATATTTCCTTTTTATCAAAAGTACCTAAGGAATCTGTAAACTAAAGACGAACGACATACGTTCTCGAACTGATTTTCTGGTTCGTCACTCATTTCACCAACAAATAAACCCATCGATGGACCTGTTGTATCTTTGCATATGAATAACACCTCTACACTGGCAATTTTTCGACCTTCCTATCAGTCCGTTCTCCAAACAGTAATCAAAACAAGATCTGGAGCGGAAAGGTATTCAGCACCGATAAGTATGTTTGGAAAATACGGAGTCACCTGATTGGCTGTTCAAGGTCATTTATCCGTTCGCCAGGTAGTTTCGGTTTGGGCTGCTATAGTTTAGAGTTACCAGGAATCTCATCTCTTCTTCTTCTTCATTGTTGAGCTACATATCTCTTACATTCTGTCTTTCGCACACCAAGACAATCAATGCATCCCATTAGAGATTGTCTATAATTACAATGCTCGATCTGCTCTGAAATAATACGGATAACACATAAGTAGTGGAAAAAAATTGATGAAAATCACCTATCTAATGACTACTACTACTACTACTGTTTCTGATGGAGGACTTCTATACATTACGTCCATGTCAGAAAGCTAGGCTCATCCTTTGACAAATATTGGCTTTTTCTTTATCCACCTTTACGTTCCGAAGGGGACATTAGGCTTTAAGCTTGAGCTCCGAAATTCCAGTAACGCGATGAGGTGGGGTTGCGTCGGTAGCCTCATGACCAACATTCCCTGGTTACCATAATTACCTCCGGCTAAGAGAGGTTTAGACGTCTGTTGGCGGGTAATCGTATCCAGATTACATTCAGTGTTCACAACCATTCTAGCACTTATATTTTATATTTTTTTTGATTACAGCTTGATCCCACACCGTATTTTTGGTACAAGTATGGAATTTTCAGCATGGATATCGGTAGCCCAAATTTTCCAGGCCGACCATAGATATCAGGTGTGCGTCGGCAGAGGATCGAACCTCGGACCATGTGCATGGTTGGCGAGAGTCCTATCCACTGTGCCACCGACGCACTGAACCTTTGATGCATTTACTTAGCATAGTAGTAAAATGAATTAAAATTTCAGTTTTAAAAATATATCTCAGTGAATTCGTTTATAATTTGCCTTGAAAATAATGTATTTTCAAATATAAGCAACGAATTAACTGCTAAATTGCCCTCTAGGATTTCATCATGTAGTGAGTTCAGTTACAGGACCACTGGAAAACCACCTGAGAGTACTGGACAGCTGTTTCGTCAGTGTGGTTTGGGACTCCTCTTCAGCAGTACGCCCCACCCCCATCAGCGTTAGAACACAAGAGCTTCTGTTTACCATGGGATAGAATCTCGAAACCAATCAAATCCTCTGAAAACCACCAACATGTGAATATCAATCTGATGCCCTATTCATCTAGAGGTAGCTACCTGGGTTCTATTGGGAAGTCGTAACCAGTGGAGTATAGCAGGTCAGGGGTCCCAGAGCTCTCTGGTCTTGTAAATGGAAGGTCCTGGGTTTTAACACTTCGGTGGTGGGTTCGTATCAATGAAGAGTGCCAAACTAGGACGAAACACCTGTCCAGGTTTTTCAATGGACCTCTAACCGATCGATCTCAGTTCATGACGAAATCCTGAAGCCAATCAAATCACGCCCCCCTCCCCCCGGTAAACAAACTCTTAAATTGACATTGGATTTCATTCCAGTAATAGTGAGTGGTAAACGTACTAAGTAAGTAAGTAAGTAAGTAAGTAACCTAGATTATCCTGGGTTCTGTGCCTTGTGTCTTCATGTGAATGCATATAACTGACGAGTCCCAAACTAGAACGAAACACCTGACCATCAATAATTCTCTAACCTACCCCCGTGATTTCAAATTATTTTATTCATTCCTATTTTTTTTTTTTTAACTATCAGTCAACTTTCAAAATTACTTGAATGAATTGACCAGTAGTTTAATGAGTTAAAATTGTTTACCTAGTCTGATTATAACCAGTCGTCTGAAGAAGTGAGATTGCATAATCAGACAAATTCAGACAGAACTTTCACATATTCAGACTATCAACCAATAAAAACAAAAAAAAAAAGATTAGACATGTAAACCAATCGAATTTGACCCCTAACAGTTCAGTTAATCTCTTTTCTCTTTTTTTTTACATCAAAAATTATCAAAACACAATGACATCATCTTCATCCAGACTAATTTGTCATCAACGTCATTATAATTTTGAAGATGATCAGTCCATCTCATGTAGCTTAAGTTGTAACTGCTTTTACCACCAATTCCTATTCTTTTTCAGGTCATATAGAGGCTAAAGTTAACTAACATTTCACACCCCCAATTTTTATTTTGTCTGAATGGCCTGAGACGTTTTTTTAAGGTGTTTCTTTCGTGTTTGTGTGTGTGGGTGGGTGTGTGGGTGTGTCGGCGTGTGGGTGTGTCGGCGTGTGTCGGCTGAATTGTGATCATCTCATATACATATAAATACACCAATCAGAAGTTGACTTGAATTGGAAAGGACAACACAGACTGATGATTGATATTTAAATCGTTCACATCTTAATTCTTTTTATTACATGCTTTAGAACCACGTTGTCAATAGACAATAAATAAACCAGTGACACATTTTAAAACGTGATCAGAGTTTCTGTGGAACAGTTTTCAAGCATTTTCATGTCATAACAGTCAGCACATTACTTGGGCAATTTTAATGGAAAGATTCAACAGTGAGTATTTATTTTATTATTATTAATAATAATAATAATAATGTTTCGTATTTTTCTATACGGTGCTTTTTTCAAAATTCCTTAATAGTAGTACAGTGATTTTGTTGTATTTATTAAGATAGATATAGCTAAAATTCAGTGGATATGCACTTTGCATTTTCTGATTGTCTTTCTTCAGTTTCTTGTGTATTAAACCTAGTTTAAACAAGCCTTTTGCACTGTTAGACACGTTATGAATGACGCTCAGGAAGGTTTCATGTGCGCTTGGAATAATAATAATAATAATCACTTTATTCCACAACAATAACAATTTACAGCATGGAATTTTCAGCGTTAGTTGGAAGTGTATGGTCGGTTGATACTTTCTGCCTGCCACCTCTCACAGCATCATAGAAGTCGTTTGAATCTTCGGGTACCTGGGACGGAAAGAGAGTTAGTGTTGCGTGACCTCAAAGACCAGGGGACAACTGCTTGAGGTCGGCCAGTCGCACATGGCCTATATGAACTGGTTTTTTGGTTTGATTCCATATTAGTAAACTTACCGTCGGTTACGAACCACCGTAGGGTAAGTCGGGATGTACAATTTTTGAGGTTGACTTTTTTTAACCGCCTCCCTCCTGAGTAGAGAGACAGCATAGCTGGTCATCTGAGTGAAACACCTCACTGATGTTACATCCCTGTTCCCAATCAGTGCGACTTCGCCCACAGACCCCCAGCACAGTGTAAACGTTTTTTACACTAGCTGTGTGCCTAGCCATCACGTTGCTTACTCGACCGACGGGAAATGTTAACCTCTGACAGGATTAATGAGGTTGGAAAGGAGTCAGATAGCTAGTGGTGGGCGGGGGATAAAATAAAAACATGACTTCATCATCAGTCAGTGAAAACCACAACATAAGTAGACAGAAGACAAGTAGTTCAGCGAAGAGTCTCTTTTCGGCGAATTCATTTTCATAGCTGTACAATCGCAAATATATATGGTTATTTTGTGTGTGTGTGTGTGTATACATTAAATTTGTCAAACGAAAATACAATTAGTAAGTTCAGATGAATTGGATGTTGATAAGAGGATAGTAACAAAAGAGTTACGTAATGGCATGAATAGTTTGATGAATGAGTTGTGCTCAAAGGGTGTACATGGAAACAAAATAATATACAGAATTACACAAGGGTTTTAAGTTAGAAAAATAAGCATACAAACAGAAGTAAGGTCAAATCAAACAAACAAAGAAAAGTTAGGTCAAATCAAAGGAGTAGTTACCATGCGAGTAGAAGTGGTTGGATAATTTTCTTTTGTATGCATAGTTCTGGTTCCTCCAACTGGATGGCTAGGGCTTCTGCGATGCAAAGAAGACGGAATCGTACTGTCTTTGGAAGGTTGTTCTTCACTTTGTAGATTACTTTGAAGGAGGCGTTCGTTGAGATGGAATGACCAGTATTGACGAGATGTTCGATTATTGCACTCCTTATATGGCCATTATTTCCTTTCTGTAGCCACGCTGGATAGTGTTCTTTTACCCTTTTAGACAGGATGCGCGTTGAACGACCGATGTACCTGGCTCCACAGCAACAGGTGAACTGATATATACACATAGAAGTGGTCATGTGCGGAATCTTGTCCTTTGGGTTTCTGCAGATCAGCGGGCGACTGGAGAACACTATTCTTAGTGTTGCCGCAGGGAAAGTTCTTCCTAAAGAGGTGGAAATTCTCCTTCTGAGGACGTCACTAAATAGGTCTCCTTTGAAGTCTAGGTTCATATAAAGTATCTTTTTTGGCACGGATAGTGTCTCTTGCTTTTGGTTTTTCTGTTTGATGTTTTTCTCTACAAATCTTGGTGGGTAGCCATTTTGTATGAAGATTTCTTTCAGGAAGTTTAGTTCTTCTTCCATGGTGTCGGAGCTGCAGATGCGTCTGACGCGAGTGGCAAGGGATTTAATTAGGTTTCTTTTCCGACTGATTGGTACCCAGCTGTAGAAACTTGTTAATTGTCCGTTCCAAGTCGGTTTCCTATGGATTGACCTTCTTAAAGTTCCGTCATCTCTCCTTGTAAGCTCAACATCAAGAAAAGGGATTTTAGATTCATTTTCAGTTTCCAAAGTGAACTTTGTGGCTGGATGGCATTTGTTGAATATTTGCAGTAGTTGATTGAGATCGTGACCGTCATCACAGATGATAAAGATGTCGTCAACATATCTAACGTACAACTGGAAATTGTCGATGGTTGATTTGAGTGGGCCATTCTCGAGGCTTGCCATGAAGCAGTCTGCTAGTAATGGGCCCAGTGGAGATCCCATTGCGATCCCATCTTGTTGTCTGTAAATAATGTCGTTGAATGTGAATTGCACATTTAGTGTACATCTCAGTAGTAGTTCTTTTAAACAGGTCGTCGGTAATCCGATGTTCAGCTGATTTTCGTCGATATAGTGACAAATATAAGAGACAGTTTCTGTGAGTGGAACGTTGGTAAATAGTGATTCAATGTCGAGGGAGAGCACAACAGTTACTTTCACTCAGCCAGCCAGTCAGTCACATAGCGAGGTGTAGACTTCATGACTGCCTCCCTTTTTGGGATCCTCGGGATGGTGGTGAGAACCATTGTGAGCTGGAAACAATTGGTGATATGGCTAGAGTTGGTGCAGATTCATTCACTTTTTGTGATGATTTATCATATCCAATAAAACTCTATCGTTTTTCCATGTTCCTCCTGTTTTTTTGCCTCACTCATACTTTTGCATATTATCTGTGTGTGTGTATGTGTTTTGAATTTGTCTTTACTGTTTTCTGTTGGTTTGTGTAGTCGGTGGAAGTAGTTTGGCATTTGGAAATGCTTCACATCTGTTGCACGTTGAAACTGGTCAGTTAGTCAGTCACCGTTCGCTCTCAGATTTTTCTTACTATTCCTTTACGGTTCCTAGTGGAACATAGAAGGCTTCAAGCTGGAGTTTTGAAGTTTTGTTAGCAGTGGTGTTTATTTTTACGGGTGGTGTGATTGTTAGCCTCATGTGCATACTTCCCCCTTTATCAGTCCTGTTACCGAATTAATCAGGTTTGTGGAGTGCGTCAGCTGGGGAGTGAACCCTCGAACTACATACGTGTTTGGTATTTTTTTTTTACAGTTGTACCATCGACGCACACCGCTCGCAGACTGATCACGGAAAGTGGTTGTGTGTTTTTTTTTTTAATTTTTACACTACATTGTGTACACATAGATGATGAACAGGGATCTAATGTTAATACTAATTTAAATTTTCTTTCTCAATTTTTTGTCAATTCTGAAATCAGTCAATACATATCATCGGGACTGTTCCATCATTACCAGTCTAGTTACACTTTCTTTGCATATAATTTAAATTATCATTTGTCTTGCACTGAACTTTTGAAGGTCTAGGTGGTATGAGTCCTACATCTGTGTTTCATACGTATGGGAACACTCATCAGTGTAGTGCATCTGCACAACTGAAGATGTTAATGTCGCCTGGGTGACTGGAAACAATTAGGGAAAAACTATATGACGCTTGCTACCTATCACCAATATATATATATATATATATATACGTACTAATCTTTTACCCGTGTTAATCTGTTTGGCTCACTATTCCAAATACATTAAATGTCTATCCTGGGAACTTTTAAACACGGTGTACTTTATATTGCTTTTATATTAGTTTGACATTCATTGAGAAATATAAAAAAGAACCTTTATTATAATGAATATCATGTATACCCAAGGCCCAAATTTTTTCAAACTGTTCAAAGTGAACTTGGTTTGGACATACATAACGGCGTACTTTATAACTTACGGTATGATGTCTGTTTTCTGGACTATTATTATCCATTAGTAGTATTGCTTCACTTTTAAGGGCTTGTATGTGTATGAGCATTTTGAATAGTTGTTTTATTTATAGTTTTTGTTTAACAGGATCACATATTATACACTGCACTACTTAACATTGTGCGGCATCACTTTATGTTATTCTGACAATGTGATACACACAAACGTGCATGTGATGTTTTTACACTCATAAGTTATTTAGAGATGTGAAGGTGGCTTTAACTTAAGATACACTCTGAGTTAGAATGTAGAAATTCACTCCACTAAGCATAAATGTCACTTTTTTTATATTGAGGTACACTAGTAGAAGAAGCAATTCAATTTAGGCAATGTGAGAATGTTGGTTAACTGAGCTGTTATAGTCATTGAAATAAGAAAGATTTGTAGCTCAGGTGGATGATTTGCAATTATTAGTGTTCTCTGAGATGGTTGGTTTAGTTGAGGCGGAGCTTTCGTCGTCCCCCCTGCTGGACAACAACCCTCCTTCAGCGCAATTTCTAGCATAATGTGAAATGATTTAAATTTATTCATAAGTGATATAATTGGGTCTCCCGGTAACCGTCTTTACATGTGCATTGATCATTTTCTATTGACTTGGATTTTAAACCTTCTGTTCACATGATTTACCTTTTATTAGTTGGTATATTTGGTCTATATCAACGTGTTTGTTAATCGCTTGCTGATTTGTTTGAGTACCAGGCTTCTAGGAATCCCCTGACTACACTTTTGGTAGTGTTTCCTCTGTCTAAGATTTAGACATTATCCTAGTTATCAAACTGATGTCCATAATTGTCTATATGCATTGATATGAAACAGGAATATATATCGTGTCTTTTCTCGGCTGATTTGTGATCCTGGATTCTGATTCGAAAGGGATGCCCACTTTAGCCGATATAATGCTTGTTACAGTTCATATTTTATAAATGGTATTAATTTTATCTCCTTTTTCTGTCGGATCTTTCGGTTTGCACAATATCGAATTAAGCTATTTGACTGGCTAAATATTGAGCTGAAGATGTTGTCCAGAAGGACGACGAAAGCCCCGCCTCAACTAAACCAATCAACTCAGAGAACACTATTAACAGTTATAGTCTGCTCTTTAGAAGTTTTTATCAGATCATATAAGTCTAATATATCAGATTTATGAAACTGAGTTTAAGATGGAAG